TCCTCCTCTTAACTCTACCCATATAGCTTCTGTATGTTTGTTGTCTAGAAATTTTTTAGCACTTAGACTGCCTGAGTAATGATCAACTATATCCAAGCATAGTCTTGATGCTTTTTTTGAGTGCAAACAAAAAAAAATTGATTAAAATTTTAGAGAAGAGTAGTTTCTTGTTTTGTTTTTTCCCCCCTTTCCCCTCTCCTCCACCTCTTCCTCCTAATTATATGCTCAGCTTTTCCTTGCAAACTACTTCCGTTCCTTACAACAAACAACAGCATCTTGCAAAAAATTTACTTACACAAAAAATGTGGCATTGTTGCCGCAACAAAACTGCAGTGTAACGTGAAACAATTAAGGAAATAAAAGTTAGATTAGGATTTAAGCCTTTTTTTCTTCTGGCTAAATGATCGTTCTTACCCGTAAACAACAGTCATCTGCCAAAGATGTATAACAGATAGCGATAGTAACGATATAACCAATGATGTTACCACCACAACAATATATGTATCACTTGGTGAAGCCACTACCGAGTGTTCTGAAAAACCAGTAAATGTCACCGCTGTATCAGAAATTTCAGTATGAACAAATCAGTAAGAACAAAAATGAAAGGAAGAAGAACAAATTAGTTGATGCCTGTAACAGTTTTCTAATTTTCTATTAGTCAACAGGTTACCACAGCTTTTAGAATCTTATTAGCAACCTATTTTTTCGCCATATTTTATCATATTAATTCCACTATGTTTTTGGTTTCCAAATATGACAAATTTTAAGCAAGTTGTTTGTGCTGTTACTTCTGGTAATCAAAGGTCTGATTATCGTTAAGCAGGTGGCAACAAATAGCAGAAGAAAACAAGTACAAGATCTGCAAACATTAAATTTGGAAAAATCGTGCTTTCAAATCACCGGTTTTCACACTACTGCTTTTTTGTTTTGCAAATGTTTCAGCTGCACATAACTAATTTGAATACTGATGTTTTTTTCGCTTTTAGCAACTCATCTTTCTTTCATATCAAGCTGTAAAAAATCTTTAAAAAAAAAACATTTTCCCTTTTCAATTTTATTTTATTTTTACAACATACTTCTGCCATTTATTCTGTTTCAAGTTTCAAGACAATTCTAGATGAAATTAGAATCGTTCCTCTTCTTTTCCATCTCAGCAATTTTTTTCTGCAGTATTTGATGTTCACCTGATCGAATAATTAGTTTTGTTTCTTCCCTTCCCTTTCTTTTTTTTTCTGTTGTTGTGCATCGTTTTTATCCTCAAATAGTTTCATTTCAAATATATGAATCAGCGGAGAAAGAGAAAAAAAAATTTATTTGCATATATCTATATGCAAAAAATCTGCTTTATGCTAACCATCTTATCTTTACTTCCTCATTTGATTTTAATTTTGTTGACACAAAAAAGAAAATCGAGGACAACGATAACGATGACAACAACGGCAGATTACTGAAATGAGCAAGTGGCTAAGAAAAAAAAAGGCGAAAAAGTTGAAAAGTTGAAGTTTTTGATAGTCTGAACGAAAGGAAAACTGCTTTGCACCATAACAATTGATTGGATTTTCATCAGCCAAATAGGCGACAACACCATCGGAATATGTCAAATTTTTATGCTTCATTTTGCCACTTTCTCCCTTGTGGAGAGTTGGTGCAAAATTGCTGTTAAGATAACGACAACTGTTAGAATATACTCCAAAAATAATGGCAAACAATTTGTGCTACCAAAACAAAACAAAAAAAAATTGTTGAGCTCAGTAAAAGACGAAAAAAAAAAGACATAAGAGATTATTTAAATTAGAAAAGAAGCAGAAGACATTAAGGAAAATTCTATCTGTTCTTCTTTTTTTTTCTTTTTTTTTTTTTCATTGTCGTCTTCTTCAGAAGAATTGCTAAAAGAGTATATATATACATATATATAATTTTGGCTAAACCATAAGTGTCAGTTCAATTCGGTGGTTGTATCCAAAAAAAGATAAACCATCAAAAACAACGAACTTCTGCAGTTCATTCCTTGATCCATCGAAAGAAAAGAAAAAAAAAACAAATAAATAAGATAAGTGACGACTGACTA